ATCTCTTAAATCTTCTGCCTTCAGCAAAAGTTCCCGACATAAACAATGTCAAGAGTTTTAAAAAGTTACATCCAGCTAGCGCCCAGACTTCTACTCCGACATCAAATTCTTTGTGCGCGCCGAAGGGATTTGTGAGATAACTCTGGGGTAACAACCAACGAACGGCAGAGCAGCTTTTCTTAAAATTCCGGCCATGTTGTTTTGAGGGTTTTTTTAAAGAAAAATGTTGTCACAACGAAAAGTTCGGTGAAGCTTTGCTCAGCTGGTGTAACATCAAGACTTCGAAACGCATTTTAATTTAACGAAGTTGCGCATTTTATGTTAAGGAATGAAAAAATTTTCAAGGTTCACCTCAAAACTCATCAGCTTAGCAGTGAAAGGATCCTCTTCCTCTTCTTCGGGGGGTTCATCTGTCAACTGCAGGGACTGGAAGTCTAATCAGTGGTCAAGGAATACCTCGTGTAATTCGCACTCAAGATAACCTATAGTTTGTGCACAGTGCCAAAATATTTACCTTACATCTGGAAACAAAACTTATTTGATAAGGTGTGACTCTGACGTTCAAAACACCCGGGGAAACATATTTCTTGACATCAATTACGATGGTGGTCTGCCCGGCAAATGATTTCACTTTTTACCTCTTGCTGCAAAACGTGTGCTCATTGAGAAACAAATTAAGAACGGATTTATTTCTACAAAGGATACTGCCCATGTCTCTCTCCTGCCAGTTAGAACGCTTCTTTTCTGGGCCTCTTGATGGTTCTATCTCAATCAATTTCAAAGCTTCCTCGTCACTAGAATAGCAAGAGAACAAAATTCAATTTTCTGTGTCATGCTTTATGTCACGCTTGGTGTCACACGCGGATAGTTCGGCCGAGGAGTGTGCTTGTATTGCTAGCTTCTTCAAGTCATTTTATTTTTTTCAAGGACGAGGGGATTACTAAATAAGCTGATATGCAATCAGTCAGTCGATCATGTCATAAAATGATGCTCTCCAAATGACCTGATTTGATTAATGGAGAACACAGGGCGTAAAAAGTCACAAAGCGATAAAGTTCCCGGTGAACCTTAAAAATTACTCAGTACGCAAAAACTACCTGCACTATGTGACGACAGTGACATAATAACAGAGGCTATAGAGATAGATAACGATACCACAAAGGTAATAAAGATGATAATAATAACTAATCTTCATATGAATACTTTGGATATTTTCCTGTCTATTTTCTAACTTTTACCTGATACCATCCTCCAAGACAAACTCCACTAATGGAAGCACCTCTGAAACAAACACAAAAAGTTCATTAATTTAGTGCATTCTGTACACCAATGTAAACAATTCATGAGGTTTTCTGACAACACCCAAAGTAGTCCTAAAGCCAGTCAGTGTGAATAGAGTGATAAACCAATCATAGCTCGACAGAAAAAAATACTAAACCAATTGTAAAGGATTTTATATCTAAATGTATTTCAGCTGTCCTGCTATGACTAAAGAGTGCAGAAATTCACAAAGTTTTTGGAGGGTTACAGACTCGCAGTCTAAACCAAAAGCTGTAAGTATACAGTTTAAAGTAGGTAAATAAAACACAGACATTTTCTTGCAAAAACGTCGCACTGATTAAAGTTAATTTTGCTCGGGAGAGGGAGGGTTTGAAAGGGCACCCTGTGGAACATTAGGCCGTAGTCAAACTCACCGAACGATGAGAACGAATAGACAAATGGCTGCCTACAGTTAATACAATGGTTGCCTTTGTTGTTCAAGAGAGGATTCGTAGTGGAACATCGGTAGCAAAGAGGAAGCAGTTCCTACAGAAAGACAATAACGTTTTGTCAGTACTAAAAACCATACTTCTGGTACGAGTTATATTTCCCTCTTGTGTTCGAGCTTTTTCACATCCGCTGCGGTTAATACTTTTGCTTGCGATCTCGACGAACTTAAGACAACATAGAAGGTCTGTGGCCAGACTGCAAAGTCCACCGATACTGGTATGATTTTCCAGAACTGTACTCCAAGTATGACAGAAACTCAAGCAAGTGACGATGAAAATGCATTCAGCAGGCAAACACGCACTGAAGACGCGAAACTAACTTCATGTTTCGTGTCACAAAAGATCACTTGGTGACGAATTAATATGCAAGCCTAAGACGGACTTCTCACATCTTTGCCGTCAATGTGAGTTGAAAATGGGATTCTGAAGGGGAAGAGAAGGCCTAAAAGGGTATGTTGTTGACTGCTTCTTATTTGGCAGGTTCCGGACGCTTTTTGTGCGACAATGGTGTTCTTGGAACTTTACTTCGAGTAGATGACAAAGTTTTAGGCTTGTTAATCGATTTTTAACCTACCTCGCTGTCGTGGAAAGGCTTAGAGCGAATGGTAACACTCCCCAAGTCAATGGCTTCTTGAAAACGTGGAGGAATCTTCAACGACTTTAGAAAAAGCAAACAAAAAGAAAGAACTATCATACATCATTTCAACAACTTTAGAATTGGCCCAGTAATTCTTACTGTGTCTCTGTACCACCCTATTACTTCAAAACCATGAGGTGCTTTTGGGAATGACTGGACGTCCAGTTGTGTCATATTAAGCCTGTTCCAGGCTCTCGGTCAAATCGGTCAGTGGGGACGTTCCCACTGACCGAGAGCCTGGAACAGGCTACGTAAAAGTTTGTCTTCAAGGTGACAATGACAACCCTCGCATACCTGTAACTTGTCGTAAGCGGTACGAGCCATCTTGTACGCTCCTAGATTCTTACTTTGCTTGGCAAGTGCAAACAACGTAGAACTAGAAATAGTTAAGGAAAATCGTTGCAAAAACTGCTTCATGCACAACTCTCCCAAATTGTTTAAGCCTTGTCACCTTTTCTTGGCGTTCTGGCCTGTAAGAGGGTGTAAATACGATAGGCATTTTGAAGAAGTTTACTTACATCGATCTTTTTTTGTGTGTACTAAATTTTCGGTGGCTTCTGTTCACCTTCATCAGAGCTACCATGTTAAAAGGTTCGTTACCACTTTGGCTACAGGCCCGTGTGCTCTCGCTTTCAGTTTTCAATTTTGAATTAAAGGTACGTAGGCGCTAGGGAGCGGTTTCCTCTTGTCGCTGTCAAAAATGGAGTGCCACGACTCTCTGATAGACATGTCTTAGGGCGAGGCAGGGACGAGGGCCAACAACCGAATGATCAGAACTGTCAAACAACAGTGGATGCCTCATGCCCGCCTTTGGATGAGGAAGAATAAGTCAAGTCAAGGCCTTTTTCTAAGAGGTTTAGTTACCTCCACAGCCGTTACCTGGGTTGTGACAGATCACGCAATGCTCCACACCATTAGTGGCGTATTGCGTGACTATCCAAATAACGGTTGAGAAGGAACTGAGCGAAGTTGCTCTGTATATGTTTGTAATTCAAAGGATACACTCTGGATACTCCAGGTGGAATCTCTTTGACCAGCATATGCAGCAGGTAGCGTGCGATGTTGAATAGCGTCTCTGGCAAGTGAGATGTGAATGGTTCATCCTGCAAAAGAATTAACAATGTAAGGTTATCTGTGACTCTGAACTCTCCTCACAACACACTCGAACTCTCCTAACAACTCCTTCTTCCCACCCTTCTTCAGGACAAATATCCTATTAAGGGAATCCAACTGAGCTTTTTACTCGCTCCGTACATGCTACTCTTCCAGATTCAAAAGCGCTGACTTTCGCCGGGTATTGGCCGTCCCCTCACCAGAGCTTATACCAGGTACCCAAACGATGCGCGAGGACGGCCAAGAGAGACGTGGCGAAGAACAATCAACAAGGAGGGAGAACATCTCGGAGTCAAAGACATGGAGGGAGCCTGAGGTGGCGGGGAATGACCGAGTTACTTGGAGGAGACGGAATGATGGGTCTATTCTCCACGAGGAGAGAATGGAAAGATGAAACAATGCGCGGAGCACCATTTTCTACTCCTAGCTGGAGAGGGGTGCACTGAGAGTAAAGTACCTTGCCCAAGAAAACAACAAAGTTCGCTATGTTTTGCGGACACCATTCAGGCTTTAACTCTTTAAGTTTTGGATTTAGTATCTGAATCTACAGTCTGAAGCAGTAACCCTTAGATGACTGCACTTACAGGTAGCTGGAGGTTTTGCACACAAGCGAGTTCGCACCTACTGAGTTCGCGCCCACATTGACTCAACTAGCGATCAAGTGCTTCAAATTTATCTTTCTCTAACCAGGCAAAAAAGGTAACATTGTGGGCATAATGAAATAACATCACACAAAACATGCCTATTTCTCGTTCTTTAATCCATTGAGAGTGAAGGCAAACTCAAAATAGAAAGTTCATAAATGATTGGGTGCGAAAGAGGTAACATTCCACTTACAATGCCATTCTCTACGTTACTTACAGTGTATCTTTGAATGGAGTGATACAAATGGTAAATTTCAGCTTTCTCCTGGTACTCGTGGAATTTGTCCAACATTTCATAATCAGGCTCAGCCTGGGCATTCTCTGCGGGAGAAAATATTTTTCACAGAACTAAGCTTGGAAAATTTAGAAACCTGAATGAAACTTTGATCATTACGGCAGTTTACCACAGTTTTCCCGGTTTGAAAGAAGCTATGTGTTTTATAGTAACTGTCAGTTTTTACGTCACAGCAGGAAATTATTTAAGCCAATCAGAGCAACGGGTTGCTCTGTGGCCAATCAGATTAAAAATAAAAATCGTGATTTTGCTGACGAGGTTTTCCCTCGTTTTTCGCGCCGGGTTACACGTTTTCCCGCGCTTGGCACGAGTTTCGTGTTCTTTCTAGCTCTGATTGCTTCATTCCTTGAGGTACCTGAAGTAGCTCCTCCGCTGACCAGGTCCAAACACTGCACAGATAGCTTCCAAAAGTAATATCCAGCATCATGAAACCTACGTTCAGTAATAAAAACGCGTCACGCAACATGAAACACAATAGACGGCATTGTCACGCACTACCAGTGTGGATAAGTCACGGACTATTATGTAACATAACAGTAAAAGATAAAGGAGTTTCTTGTCACGATATACTAACCTGTGTTCCACCACAGCATTGTGACACAGTTGTTCTAATACTTTAACTGCTTGGTCCCTTCGTCCTGCTTTGTGGAAAGCTAGGAATTATAAGAACAGAGTGAAAAAGGTTACGCCTTTCATAAAATAATTTAAAGTGATTATATATGCATGGATCCAAGGCAGGGACTTCTTACCTTCCTGAGCTTCATCAAATCGGTCATTTTCAGCCAGCCAGTTGGCATAAGGAACAAATACTTCATCCTGTAAAAATACAAAGAGAATCATTTCACAGAGGAGACCTACAACACAGCGAACCAAGCTCAGTCAGGATTCACTACCATCAAGATAAAGATTTGAACGGAAGCACCAAACTTCACTGCAACCTCAGGAGTTACGTCACGGTTTGCGTATCTTGACAAGTTTAGCCTCAATTTTTCAAGTTCGTCGTTTGCAATCCGTGTCAATCTTCTCCATCCTTTACTATCCTTGTTCCTTTATGGCTTATCAGGTTTCCTTCAATTGAAAGGTAACTTTGTACGTGACCAAAATGACTCAAAATACCGTGACTGAGCTCCTCTAAAGCAGGTTAACTATTTCATGGAGAGCCACAATAATGATTAGGATCAAAGCAAGATCACTTTCAGAAAATTTTTTTCGACCATTCCTAACTTCATTAACCTCACTACTCAATGTTAACACTAGTTACTCCATCAAAGTATCCTACCTTGAATTCTGGATGTTTTTCAGCAAGTTCAAATGCCTGAAAACAGATAGATTAACAGAATAGATACAGGAAATAATCAGATAATTTGTTAACAATGGCGATAAATTATTTCCTCACAGTGATACAAGTGTACATCAGAGAGAAAAGGTAACTTAGAACAGTCAAGTTATATTATTGAGATGGAGGATGCCTGATTCGAAAATGTGAATATAATCGTGTTTTGATTACAAAGGAACTACTAGCTATGTAACATCATACCTCGTCCCAGTGTTTGGTTTCCACGTGGAGTTCCAATAAGGCTCTGATGTCACCTATCTTGAGGTACATTTCTGTAGCGTATCCATGCTGTTATGACAGAAAAAAAGTCACCATTGGAACATGCGTTTACTGAAGGAGACTTACAGTCACCTGAGAGAAGTTTGATGAAGATACGAAACAGTTACCGTTGTAGGTTTTGTAGCCATTGTGGTTGTGGGGAATGTTTTGGGTATTGTGATGGTTGTAACCATTGTGCGTGTCAGATCATGAGGGATTTGGACATTGGGGTTTTTGAGGCCACTGTCTGCACTCTTGTCTTGCCATTGCGGTGCCTCTGGTTGTTGTGTTGGTTGTGACAGATGGCTCAAAAGCAATGAAACACTGCCCCTCAAGTGCAGGCAGTTTAGGACACTGAGAGTTATATTCCTGGAGTTAACTTCTGATCTACCTGATCCAGTTGTTTGAAGTAGTAAGCACACTGTTTTAGCCCTTCTGTGTCAGCCTTGTTAAGGTTCCGTCCAACTTCCAGCAACCTAACAAAACGCACAAACACATTGAAGTACCTTGTGATTCAGGCACAAATAGCCATTGATAATGAAACATCAGTAACATTTAATTCAACACCTGGCCAAACTCAAACAAATGGCCTTGGCTTTAGAACTGATTGGAAATACGACAACATTTCTCTGGTATTTTACAAAAGTTCTCTATAAGTCAGAGTGACTTGAAGTAAAGAAACGGTTGACAGGAGTAAATGTGTTATTACTCTTTGTGTACAAGTACATGAAGTGTCTGCTCATGAAAGGTCTAGTTAGAGTATATGTTATGATTTTTCCTGCACTTGCCCCTTGCTCGTTTTTTTTGTTTTGTTTTTAATTTGGTTACCAACAACAATGAAGGAAATTGCTCCATCAATGTGATTGTACTTTTCCATAAGATCAAACTGTTTTCAGTCTAACTTCTAAATTCTAGAAATTGAGGAAAGACTCTCACTTTTCCACCCAGCCATGTTGTCCAATAATTTCAATGGCTTTATGATTTTCACCAGCAGCAAGAAACATGTCACTGAAAAAAAGGAAATCAGATATCAGACAGTTACCTAGTTTACACACCAAAAGGATTGAAACTAATGACTTCAAAGGTGTTATAGTCAACATACATTTAAAGTACAGTAATTACGTCATGTCATTCCTCAGAACACCACCCTGGCATGCTAATCAATTTCACAACATTCAATTCAATTCCCTGTCTTGATCTCCATCCCTGCCTACACAAATGTCCCTGTCTTCATCTAGACTTGGACTACGACTGCCTCTCTTTGCACTCCTGGTCAATTTGGCACTCACTTGGAAGGTTCTTTTGCAAAATACCAAACTGGCAAAGAGTGGTGTGAGGCAGCTGTAATCCCGACTATGTGTAGTGTGTTGTCATATCAGGGCGTGTTTAAAACACGAAATAGCAAAATGACGAAAAGGCACTACAAGTAAGAGTCAATGTGGGATACGGGTGTCTGTAAGGGTTTTTAACCCTTACTATCATTGAGAGCTTAAACCACTGTCGAGTCAGTGATATTTAGGCTAACCTGAGTGCTATTTAGGCAAACCATGGTGCCATTTTGGCTTCTCATGTTTTAAACATGCCCTTGTCATATCATATTTTATTTCACTTACACTGCTGCTTTGGGGTCATTTGTTGTTTCACACCACTCAGCTTGTTTCTTGATCAGTTGCTTTACGTTCTTAGGATCACTGCTACCAATGAAATCCTGTTTGAAATAAAAACAACAATAAAGGGATGAGTAAAAGCAAGGTATTACCTGTATTAATACATGTATCTTTTTTCATGGTATCATCAACCTGCTAAATTTTGCAAGCACTGTTGATGTTCAGATTGCCTTGGCCCGAGTTTCTATGACACATTCACGTCAGTGAGGAAATGTTACATTTTAATACCAAATCAGAAACAAAAACAATTTTGCCGATAGTTGTGTGACATTCTAAAGAAGCCCAGTTGCATTACCTTCGCATATTCAAACTGTCTGAGGTCTGTGAACATCTCCATGGCCTAAACAGAATAAAATATTTAAATGATTAGGTACTGTACAGTGTATGTCCACACTAACAGGGGCACCCAAAGGCAAATGCTGAATAGGACAGCCAAGAGAGATGCAGCGAAGAATAGTGAACAAGGAGAGAGAACATCTCGGATAGGCCCTTTGCAGCTAAGCCATCACGTGACCTACTTTTCATAAAATTATGGGCTATAACTTAACGAATGCCAGAAATGGAAAAAGCATGTCGAAA